TTTGATGGTCGACGTCCTGCTTTCTTCGCCGTTGGAGCGGTATTTTCTTGAGGACTAGCCGGAGGGTTTCCCTTACAATCGGAGACTGCAGAAATATCCTCACTTTCCAATTCCGAAGTAGACGCTTCGTTGCTCAAACTGTGTTCTTTTGGCCTAGCGATGACCTTGAGCTTCTTGATGGAGTCCTTAGCTTCCTTCATGAGCCAGTTCACGGTCTTACTTGCCTTGTCATAGCCAAGCATGTCTTGGATATTGAAGAACTGTGAAGCAACCTCAAGATTCAATCTCATCCTCCGGTCTCTCGGCCCTTGCGCTGTAACTATCTTACTATGACGATCTTTTCTTGTTGTTCGTTTGCGTCCGATTGCAACATTTGCCTTCTTATGAGGCGATCTGGCTTCCTTGATTGGTGGAGCGGTTGGAGGAGTTAATGGTGACTGAGCCTCAGCACCGAGCTGAGGAAAGACAAGGTCATGAAGGGTGCTGTCTTGGTTCAGTTCAGGAGAGAAGGGGAAGAAAGGAGAAAGGGGCCTTGATTCCATAGCAAAGTAGGGAGGGTCAGGGTTATAAGGGAACATCGTAGTTGTATATATCATGTATCCCTAAAGGAGTGAGTAGGGTTTGTAATTAAGAATAGATCGGAGTAGAATTTGCAAACAAAGGTGAAAGTATCTAATTAGGGGACGTGGGCTTACCAGCACCCACATGAAATATGAGGAGGTTGAGTGGGGAGCGGTACGCTCCTTGCAAGAGCTCACAGCTTTCGGTACTTGTTGCTGCAGCTAGATACAAGCCGCTACAAGTACTGGATTTGCCTAATTAAACAAGAAAAATTGAAATTATATACGCAAGAGAGAGAGAGAGAGAGAGAGAGAGAGAGAAGAGAGAGAGAAAGGAGAGAGAGCGGTTAGATGATGAGAAATTAAGAAGAGGCGCAGGTGGCTCTCAGGTAGTCAAGCTGAAGGCGGAGGGCTAGCTAGCTTTGAGCAAAAACGGAGGGACGACGCAACTATTTATAAATAAATCAAGAAACCTACCCCCCCGCTCTCGCTCTCCCTCACTCTGTTCCTAGTAGCTTTTAGCTTAGAGAGAGATTGGGGGTTGGGGGGAACATACAAAACGTATGGTGCGGTGTCACGTGGGTGCAGCTAAGAGGATGACAGGGAGTCACTTCTCTCACCTCTCATTTGGAGTCTCACTTGGAGTCTCATTTGCTCTCCTTGGGATTCCCTCTCCCTCCCTCCCCCTCTCTCTCTCTAGACTTTCTCTTTCTCAAACTTTACAGCCCGTTATCTTGCAGAACTGTTCGTGGGCTGAAGTGCCCATTCTCAATGTATGTATTACTGCACTGGTAGTGGACTGATCGAGACGGGACATATACCTGAGAGAAGAAAGAAGGAAAGAGATGCTGATGAGTGAATAATGATGCGTTGGGTCTGGGTTTTTTGCTTAATAATTTGTTTTCCCTTTCTAATTTATATATACACCCCCGGCTGATCAAATTTCCCCCCTTAATTAATTAATTAGGGACCACCCTCTCCTTCTCTACTTGAAGCTTGTTGATCAGTGCTCTCTCAACCACTGTCCTATAGGCTACCTACACGTGCCCCTGTCTCGCGACGCCGGGGACAATTATTTGCCCCACCCGTCCCTTTCTCTCTCCGTCCGCTGTCCCGCCAAAACACCGTCCCTGCGCCTTTCTTTGACCAAAACCTAACTAAACAAGACTTTCTTTGACCAAAACCTAACCAAACAGGACTCGAAAGACTCTTTCTCTCTTTCAGTGGCTTGATCAGTACTGAAGCAATGCAATGCGTTGTCCTTTGCTTGGCCGCCCGCATTGTGTTACATCTCTCGCTCTCATTCAAACAGTGCGCGCTCTCTTTGGCGCTGGTTTCGTACGCTTAAAAGGATCAATTAATTACGACTCGACACATCTTCAGAAGGGCAACAATTAAAACCAACAGAAAACCATCGACATTTCCCCTACTAATTATTTCCATATATACATGCCGTCATCTTCCCACAGCTTTGCCCTTATCCGCTTCGCTTGCCACTTTATGTCTTTTTTTTTTTGGGAAAAGTCGCTTTATATGTCTTTGTCCAACTTTTCTTCCGCCCATCCCCCGCTTCCGCGCGTGCACATGCAAATTTTTATTTTTTATTTTTTGCTTAAAATTTTTTTTCATGCCTAGTTCCTCCACCTTCTAATGTTGTAGGCTTACTTCGAGTGCAATTGATTGCTCGGCGTTTCCTATATAATTTGCTCAACTTAATTATTAATTATTACCCACATAAAAAAAGGAATTTATGGTTAAAATGATAAGGTACAACTCTCTAGCTGTATTTTGTTTGCAAATGAGTAGTCTTTCTCTATCGTGAGCCTATATACATATGACTAATTCGAATTTGGATCATCTCCGCTACAAAAAAGTAGTGGAGAGAACGCTACTTTTAATCTCAATCGTTGATTACTTAGTATGCGCGCGATTATGATACAATCTAAATATAACACTCACCATACCCCCGTGTATTGCATCATTTCCTAATTTACACTTAAAAGAAAAAATTACAACCGTCAACTAGATAATCAATGGTTGTGATTATGTAGTGGTCTCTCCACTACTTTTTAAAAAGTGTAAAGGATCCGAATCCGATATTAATTTCGTTTCCAAAAGGAATATTGAATTGAAAGGCCCTGATGGACCATTTTGGTGGTGAGTTGACGAGTACAAGGACTGAGCGTTTCACTTAATTCATAGTCCATCCATAGAAGCTAATTAGGGAGGTCACATGTATATAATAATAGATTTTTCTAACGGGTGTTCATGGAAACTCATAAAGGGAGAGCGAGAATTAGTGCAAATTAGGGGTGATTTGCTATTTATATCTCTCTGACCCTCTCATTTTTTTTAAAAAGTGTCCATCGCCGTCCGTTAGAAAAACAGTATAATAACAACCAAAATAAATAAATAAAAAAGCGCAAGCATGGAATATTAGCAAAACTTATGAGCGGCCAACGCTCAAGAGTCTAAGCAAAGGGTTCTGAGCCCTTGATAACTTGAAAAGTAGGCAGGCAAAAATAGGAAATTAATTTGCTTCTCATCTAAGGGCTCAAAACTGGCCGCTCGCATGACGATGTTTTTGAGAGGATTCGTATGTCAATTTCAATGGGACTAGATTCCAATTGGAAAAATGGCTGCAGTTGCCTGACAAGAGCTAATGAGCTATAGAAGGCCTACTGTTAATGGCATCTCTTGCACTGATGGGAATATGACCGTCCTTGCATTCCCCACTCCCCTAACCCTAAGTGCTTGCTTTTACATTCTTTTTCATTATTGAACCCACTTCAGGGCACCTTTCTCTTTCAATAATACTCCCCCTCCATGTTTTTATACTCTTTGTTTGTGTTGTAGCCTGAAGTAAATTGGAGAACTAGTAGAAGGGCAAGGTCATTTAACTCGTGATAATTAAGGAAATCAATGGCACTTGTGGTTTGATTTGGATTTGAATTTGAAGTAGTACTTAAAAGTGTTAATAATAATGCTTTCCTTTAGATACACTTTAATTCAAAGTAGTGAGGAATATAGGAGAAAAGGCCGAGAAAACATTTATAGTACCTGCGGTTTTAAAAGAGATAAATATAGTTTAAGTAATTTTAATGGAAAACTAATATATATATACACACTAGAAATTTGACACGTGCAAATGCATGGGATAGAAAAACATGTTATTTTTGCATATTTTTTACTAGATATGAAAATTTATTATATCTTGTTTATAATGAGAATGGGTGCTAATAGTAGATATGGAAAGAGCATGGTTCAGATGATTTTCTAAGAAAAAGTTACCTTTTTACCTTCATTTTTTTGTCAATGAAATAATTTTTATTCTGTTTCCAAATTTGTAGTTGTGTAGTACATCGTATAAACCAGTTCTCTAACTGGTATTCCTCTAACAAAGAGTTTACATTCTCTCAAGCTTCTCTTTCATATGAAGTGGAATATCCTCATTCAAGACTTTAGAAAAAATGAAGATTTTCACTGCTCGAAACACCTGATTAGGCTCCCGAGTTTTGCATTGGAATATTCTCAAGTTCCTCTCTTGCCAAATTAAGTACATTGTAACTGATAGAGTCATTCTCTTCACTTTCTTCATAAAACTCAAACCCTTCAGATTTGAGCAATACCAATTAGTAATTCGATTCCAGCTACAAGACCTCCAAGTACAGCCCAGCCATTCCATCACTTTGTTCCAAATATGAGCAGAAAACTAGCATTCAAAGAAAAGATGTTTTATAGTTTCCAATTTCTGATTAGAACATATGACAAATTGATTTGTGTCCAATATTCTCACTCGGCATAGTCTATCTTGTGTTAATAGTCTGGAGTGATTGATTAACGATAAAACAAACAAGTATTTAGGGTAATGCAATCCCCCCACCCCAAACTGTATCAGACCAAACTGTCAGAGGAGTTGTTTGAGTTAAAGCTCTGTATATAGAAGATAACTGAAATCTTCCATTTGAGTAGAAACCACCAATGATGTTTTGCAGATTGTCAACATTACCAAACTTGGTTAACACCATATCCTTTACTCTGAGCAATTGTTTCCACATCCATGAGTTATACACCCTCGGTTGAACCTGCTAGATATTTGAAGTTAGCAGATAATTCCCATGAATCCATTTAATCCAAAACAAATCTTTTTTGAGATGAATAATCCATAAGAGCTTTATTTATTTTTAATAAATGAAAAATTTTATTCATCACCAATATGTAAAGTTTTTTGTACATCAAGAATCTCAAGAACATAAATATGTAATTGAGATAACAAATCAAAACATATAGCTAAAGCTCAAGACCTAGCTATAACAAAAACTAAGAAACAGTTAACAAAACCTGCACACAAACACTGTGCATCAAATTTATCTCTTGGGCCAACTCCCAGTAGTAGCATCTTCTTCTCTTTATGGTTCCTTTACTGAATCTTAACCAGGCAATCATGATACCAATAGTATTATCTGAACCAGATTATCATGAACACAACTAGATAGTCCTGTACACATCCAGACATGTGCACAGAACACCACAGCAGAGCAAAATTATCTGCAGGGAGGGGCTTCAATGTTAGTAATAGCAAGAAATGACTACAGAAGATAGCTTCAGCCTCCTGATTCATTATACACAAGCATCAAATAAGCACAACTCTACCAAACGTGCACAATGTGGCACAGTGCATAACATGTACAAAGTAACCGACAACTAGATCCAGGAATAATATGCTGACTATAGGGATAAAATCCAGTCTTTATGTTCAGATGAGAGCTTGTTATTATTGAGGATGTTGGTTAGAATTTCCATTTTAATGCTCTTGATCAGCTGCTCAGTATTATGGTTTCTTTGATTAAAAATTCTATCATTTCTTTCTCTCCAAATACAATAAACTGCAGCTGAAAATACCCTTCTCTTGGTTTTTTGTTTAAAACCTTTTCCCTTCAACCTGCAATTGAACCAATTAACCAGCAGCTCCTATTCACATGTCCTCCAATTAAAGTTAAAACATTCCATAATCTCATTCCAGACATCCTTCGAAAACTGACATCTGAAAAATAGGTGATTACGGTCCTCTGATTCAACCCCAGAACATAAACAACATTTGTTAACCTGAATTATTCCTCTCATTTGCAGTTTATCTTGAGTAAGCAGCCTATCCTGAACAGTGAGCCATAGTATAAAAGAATGTTTTGGGTAGTTAAGCTTCTCCCAGACTGTTTCATACCAAGGTACTTGAGTTGTTACTGGACATAAGCAATGATACAGATCAGATAAATGGACTTTAGGCTCTTTGTAGCATGAATTAATCTTTAGCTTCATGTTCTCAACTCCTCCACATGATGTTATCATTTTATTCCTGACCTTAAGTAACTGTTTCCACATCCATGAGTCTCCTTTTTTCATCTCAATTATCCAGATATCTATATTTCTTAAATAGTTCTCATGAACCCATTTGATCCACAAAGCCTCTTTATTGCTATGAATGTACCAAAGGGTTCTCAAGGCTGAAGCAATACTCCAAATTTCAGCAGAAAAAATCCCTAAGCCTCCATGCTTCAACCCAAGATAGATTTTACCCCATGAAACTAGTGAAGTTTTATGAATCTGATCTGTTTTTCCCCAGAGAAAAAATCTGCATAGCTCATCTATCTTTTGAAGGACTTTCATTGGAAGAACATAGCTGGATGTCCAGTAGA